TTTGATCCCACATCTTTACCTGGATGTTCAGTAGTCTTCGATCCAACATCTACTTAGATGTTCAATAGTCTTCCATCCCACATCTTTGCCTAGATGTTCAGTAGTCTTATATTCAACATCTTTACCTAGATGTTTAGTAGTCTTCGATCCAACATCTTTACCTGGATGTTGAGTAGTCTTTGATCCAACACCTTTACCTGGATGTTCAGTAGTCTTCAATCCAACATCTTTACTTAGATGTTCAGTAGTCTTATATCCAACATCTACCTAGATGTTCAATAGTCTTATATCCAACATCTTTATCTAGACGTTCAGTAGTCTTATATCCAACATCTACCTGAATGTTCATTAGTCTTATATCCAACATTTTTACCACCTTTCCTCCGAGAAAGAAGAAGCAATTGTCTTCCATCGACCACGTACACCTCTACTGTTCCGAGCCTGAGGTTTCACGGGGGGGTGGGGGGGGGGGGGGGCGGGTGGACTGTGGACATTCGCACGTGATTCAGCGAACTGCGATCGTTACGAAGTTTCGAGATCCTGCGAGGTAAAGTTCGTTTCTGGGTAGGGCCTCGAGAAGATCTCCGGAAGGATCAGACGTCGGATAGAAATTCCGGAACCGAGGGCGGTTAACCCCCGAACCTGTTTACGAACTTCAAGGGGTGGAACGTAGACGTCTGGACCAGACTTTCGCGATATAAAATCCAGAAGAATTTATTCTCGCGAGCAATCGAACGTTTTATCGTGGACCACCTAGTACTAATCCCCCCAATAGACGGCGAGTAAACTGTCACGAGCAACGCAGAATGTACACTGACGTGAAAGCTCGACTTCTGTTAAGGGAAAAACTAGCATAATTGAAGGACCGCATACCACTCGGTAAATTTAAAAGAAGTACTGAAATAAATATTAAACTGAATGTTAATTTAACATAAATTTCAGAAACTTCCGAAATTTATGTTAAGTAGTATAAACGTTCAAAAGTCCTATCCATGCAAACACAAAATTATTTTTAAAAAAATAGATTACTTCTATACACACCCAACAAAATCAATAGCATCTCTAATTGAAACACTACAACAAAAGCTGTTCATCCGACAGCATTTGTCCAGTACTGTAGCTTAATGGCATTAGCTGTCTCTTCCAAGGACTTTCCCGTCGAATTTTTCATCTCTCACAGATCCTTTCAGCTTTCCTCTGGGGAGGTTCAGCAAGATCGAGATTCGTGCATCACCGTGGGATTAAGCTCGAGACATCTTCGATACAACCGGGACGCATTTACAGCGACGGGATTCCCTCAGTCCTTAATCCCTGCGGTTACACACCAGTCGCTCAATCTCGATCCTAATACCCTACGTGGGCTCTCGTAGGACCAGGGGGGAAGGGGGTGAACCGAACGGCATCAACCGAGCTCGATAAACCACTCTCTAATGATCGGGTCGTTTGACATCGACGACAGGCTTACAAAAAGCCCCCGTTGTACATCGAACGTCGACGCCCCTAAATGGCGTCTCGAGGAAACTTGTGCATTTCCTGTCCCGGTTGCAGCTGGTGCAACGCTGTGTCGCCCGGTTTCACGTTATTCGAATGGAGCGGAGGGGCTCCTATTAAAGTTCAAGAGTTAAGCCTCCGCCATGTCGTCGCGACAATTTTGGAATTTACCGAGAATACCCGGACAACCGTGTGCTCTCACCTGGTTCCAACAGTTTTCGGATGCTCTGTACGTCGTTTTGCATTAATTTTAACGGACTGCGGTGTACTGCAACAGTGTTTTAGGACTGTTGGAAACATTAACCGCAGGAGTTCATTTCTACTAACATGCTCGCGAAGTGATATGCACGCTGATATTTCTGTTGACTTTGCTCGTGTTGTTTATGGGGACCAACCTTAGAATTTTTGTACATTTCGTTTATGCTAATTTTTTTTTCCTTTGGCGTTCGCTTCACTTAAATTTTGAAATGATTTGTTCTTAAGAAATGGGAAGTATACAAAAAGTAGACGTAAAATTTAAGTATGTTGGATACTAAAAATGAATATTTGAAAATAGATTAACTATTGAAATATAATGTTTGTATCCCTTCGATAAAAATTATTTTAAATTTTGAAATGATTTGTTCTTAAGAAATGGGAAGTACACAAAAAGGGGACGTAAAATTAAAGTATGTTGGATACTAAAAATGAATATTTGAAAACATAATAGCTATTGAAATATGATGATTGTATTCCTTCGATAAAAATTATTTTAAATTTTGAAATGATTTATTTTTAAGAAATGGGAAGTATACAAAAAGTAGACGTAAAATTTAAGTATGTTGGATACTAAAAATGAATATTTGAAAACATAATAGCTGTTGAAATATGATGATTGTATCCCTCCGATAAAAATTATTTTAAATTTTGAAATGATTTATTTTTAAGAAATGGGAAGTATACAAATAGTAGACGTAAAATTTAAGTATATTGGATACTAAAACTGAATATTTGAAAATATAATAGCTATTCAAAATGTGATCCTTATTTCGGTTTATACAGACCCAAGGAGAATATCAGGATTAATGGAAAAATCACCCTGTTAACTAGTGAACTACGAAAAATATCGAAACAAAGATTACATAAATTTTGTATCGTTTTTAGTTGTCCATACATCGGTGGGAATAAATTTTCGAAAAACTAATTTCCAAGAAAATTATTAAAAGTCCCGAGGGAAAAAAGTAGATTCCCACGATTTCGAAGGCAGTCGATCGTACGATTGAAAAGTTGAACTTGTACAAAATGTCGCGTTTCCCAAGATGAGCAATTCGTCCGTCGGCTCGATGGATTAATTCTCTAGGGAGAACAAAAAAAAAAAAAATAGAGTACGTCACGTGGAATGCAAATCGCAGTAGAAACACAACGATTCCATTTGCCCCGCGGAATCCATCTGTGTGTATCGATCGGCGAACCGTCGATGCCACGGGCTCCCGGCAGTGTTCGTCGTGGAACAAATAATTCAGTGGGATGAGCAAACTGGGAATGAAAGTGATCCATTACCGATGGAACTGTACAGAGTAACACTGGAATCCACAGGTACCCTCTCTAATGAACCGTTTAATGATCGTTTTTCGCCTTTGACATTCCTTTCCCTGTGATCTGTCGCTCTCCCATTCGCCCGTGGTATAGAAAAATCTGGGACAAAGTCGGATAATTAAAGAAATAGCAAAATATTATTGTACAAATATTTGTTAAAAATAACGTTCTGAAACTGATTGGAAATAATTTGTATACAGTACTGATTCCGTGACTGTTATTATATCATGACAGTATACAGTAAATCATCGATGAGTGCTCGAAGGCCCCTCGGCACTGAACAATAAATATTTCCTAAATAAATCGCCATATACAACTAAAACAAATATTATTAGCTACAGAATTCTAAGCTCTAACACTCATCGAGAATTTACTGTAACAAGTTACTCTTCAACGTAATTTCATCTAAAAAAATGTTAATTTCCAAAGAAACAAAGGGTAGATAACATGGAACCTTCACGTGTCTGCTAACGAGTCGAATTTCACGAAATTATCCGTGTGTTTGACGCGAGAAACACGAAACATTTCTCGAGGGTGGGAGAGAGGTGGTGTCGGAGGTACGATAACGAGGAATCCTTAATCTCGCTGTCGTTTACTTAGCGCAAACTCCGCGAGCTTATGCTGATTAGCAAATACAGAGGAGTTTGTAGCACGCTAATCAAAACCGGGGAGGAACGATGGCTCGCCTGTGTAATGATATCGCAATGCGATCCATTTCTGAGAACGGGGGGAACACGTTTATCCGACGTTTTTCGTGAAATATCATTTGCAGGACTCGAGAATGAGAACCGACTGCGGAGTTAGTTAGCAAAACGTTACAAGAGACACTCGACTTCCCGTAAGATTCGAATTTGATTTTCCGTTAGATCGAGCGGAAATTGCGAGCGTTCGTTTGAAAAATGATTCCAGAAGATGAGACGAGTTTCGGGACGAGGGGAGGGTCAATATTGTTAGCGTTTAATAATTCGCAATTTCAACATCGTGTGTACCGGGCCGGCCTTAAAAGCAGACAGAGATTAATTGTGAGCGGGTTAATTACCTCTGAAGCGCCGTAGTTAACCGAAACACACAAGAGGCCCCACGGGGGGAAAAAAAAAAAGAAATACAGCACCGACGCGGGGGAGCTTAATTAACGCTTTAACCGTGGACCAGCGCGATGAGGAGGCCCTGTTGTACGAACAAACACGTTCAGCCTCGAACAGCTTTGTTGCTTTTCTCGCTAATGTCTGATAAACAGTTGCTGTCTACCGCTACGCACGATTCGTGTCTCACCCATGGTGGACTACCGAGATTAGAGATGGAACTCTGGAGAACTCTGAAGAGCACAATTATTAAGTGTGCCAACAAAGTTAGCTAGTAGTGTTCTTTGATTATGAGACGATATATTTTAAAGTAGAACTTGTGTTTGTGATCTTTCACTGACTAGGAACAGCGTCGAATATTGCAGAAGCATTATTAATATTAACGAAACAGCATAGATTCTATATTATAGATCATTGGATTCTATAGGAGTAGTCATTTCGCCAAGAAACGGTTCAAAGTTAGTGGTACACCTAATAATTTACTTTCAATGGTATAATAATTATAATTAATTAAGTAAATTAATAATTATAAGTACTTATTATACCATTGGTATAATAATTTACTTTCAATGGTGTAAATTTATTGGTACACCTAACAATTTACTTTCAATAGTATAATAATTAAGTAAATTAATAATTATAAGTCAATTATTATACCATTGGTAAAGTAATTTACTTTCAATTGTGTAAATTTATTGGCTACACCTGACAATTTACTTTCAATGGTATAATAATTAATTATAATTACATTATATTACCCTTGATATAATAATTAATTTCAGATTAATAATTTATTGTCAGAATTTCTGAGAACCATTTGGCCAATCTGTTAAAGTCGAATTATTGTTTCAGATATCGCTGGCGGTTACCTGTGCTTCGTCGTCAGTATATTCGGGATCGGTGTGGTAACGGCGGTAATAGGAGACGTGGCATCCTACTTTGGGTGCACTCTAGGAATCAAGGATTCTGTCACCGCTGTCGCATTCGTTGCTCTTGGCACCAGCATTCCTGGTAAGTCTAGAAGCAGATTTTTATATGCGTGAAAATGTGCAAAGACCACGATTCTTAAACAATACCCGAAGCTTCGTCTACACCTTCTTTTCAAAAAGTTAAAATCTAAATTCGTCTTCAGCAAATAAATCTCAATTCGCAGACACTGTTACTCTATCAAATAGATCTGTTTCGCTCCAGCAAAGAAATCGTTAGAACCGAGAAAGACAGGAAATCTCGCGGAAGGAACTCGCGTCATACCCTGAATGGCACAATTCACCCAGAGCTGCGTGATTCCTCGAGAAAAAAGATGAATCGCATGAGTTACGGTTGAATCAAGAGGATCCGAAGGAAACCCGTTTTCGCGGATGAAAACGCTTAGAGAAGTCAATAACTCGGCTTCCTGATTCCTCGAACATTGTTCCGTCTCTGTAGCAACGAGGATACACAACTTCCACTGAACGAACCGCACATATTTCCAGTCAACAGAATGAAGAAATACTTTCTCGGCATCTTCCGTTCCAGGCTTTTAAGATTTCTTCGGTTCAAACGAGATCCTAGACCAAAGGAAGTTTCTCCAGGACCAAAGGAACGAAAAGATTGTACGTTCGAACGTTTTACGATCTATAAGATCGTCAATCCAGGCTCTCGGAATTTGATCGAGAAACCACGACAAAAGGGGATGTCTGTGAACATTTTCGACGGTGCATTCATCATCTGCGAACGACTTCCAAGAAGACTCCAGCTATTTTTTGCAAAGCTTCTTATCCTCGAGGCAGTTCTGAAGTCGAGGGACCGACATAGGCTGGATACGTTCGACCCTGGCGATAAATCTTTCATGAAGATCCTGTCACACTGTTGGGAATTTTCCGTCTCTTGCGGTCGAGACACGCGGTTTCCCTCGACGGTTTCCTCTTCAGTCGAGACGGTTTCCTCTTCAGCCGAGTCGCTTTCACGAAAGGGGGAAGGAGGTGTTGCGTCGCGGAGTCCTTAACGCGATTGCTTTGATACTTCCCGACTTCACAGGCGGAATCGACTTTATGTGAATGTTTAAGACGAAGAGGACAAATACTTGGTGAAACGAGAAATAACGATTTGTTAAAAAAATAAATTAAATAACCAAGAGTAACGAAGATAAGTGGTTTTTGTGCAGAGAAGTTGACTGATCGATGGTTGATTATCGACTGAAGATTCTAACTGGATGTGACGATGGGATGAAGTTAGCTGGAGGGAGAATCTTTCCTATTGGCTAAAAGCTGTCGGTGTTTCCCTTAAGGCTAATTCGTCGATTTTACGATGTGGGTAGGTCACATCCAAGCGAGACGGAAAATGACAAAATAAGGTCGTTCCGCTTTAAACAGGCCGCCTAAATGCCTTCTCTATCTGTGATCATACGAGAAATATTTTTTACGTTATTTAAATTGTTTCCAGAGACGAATCAGACGATGGAACAAATTATACAAGTGAATTTAAAATTGCTAGACTACATTCTTTATAGTTAAAAACTTTTAGAGTTGAAGGTCATTTCAAGGTCATAAAATCTTTTAACACCGAAACACCTCTTCCGGGGAAAATGTTATTTCTCACGATTAGTTAATTCGAAAATTGTACCAATGCGTGCACCACATCTGTATTTTCATGAGAAAACCCCTGGAAATATTTTCTAGATACAACGTATACGTCAGACTAGATGTTAAAGGGTTAAGCTGCTCAACTTTCGCGAATATTGGACTTGCCCACGATCGGTACCACTCGATATATGAACGAACCACGGCCTCGAGATTGATCGAAATATCAAAGACCATCACGAGGAATAACACTTTTTCTGATATACTATATTTTATCCTTGATTTGCATTTCATCCTTGACCCCAGTATCGACGATGCTATACAGAGCTTTACTGTCTCGAACTACCAATCCCAACAGAGTATTATGACGCTCTATCGTGCGAGTACGGTTCGAATCGGTCCGAATCTGGCTCTAGATTAATGAACGAGCTAACAGACACGATCAAATACTGCGTCGCTCATCCTGTACACAGGGTGATCCATTTGAAATGGTACACGCAATTATCTCCTAAACTATTTATTATGGAAAAGTGTATTTCAAGAAAAGCTTACTTTGTTTCAAGGAGTAGATCTCGTGATGGTCACGAATCTTACCTAAATGAACGTGCCTTCGAGATTCTAAGGTGACCTTTAATTTTTCAAATGGAACAGAATGGATTCGGATAGACGTATAGCCCGTTCCATGGTGAATCCAACTATCTATAAAATAGTTGGTGTTCCAAGGTCACTCAAGGTCGCTTATTGCCATTCAAGGTCACCTTGAAATTTCGAAAACAGGTACATCTAGATAAGATTTATATCCACCACAAGATATCCCTCTGGAGACCAAGTAAACTTCACCTGAAACATTTTTATACGATATAAAATATCATATTTCACGAGATAATTACCTCTTTCACTTCAAATGGATCACCCTGTATAGATGAAACACAGTACCATAGTTACTCCCACACAGAGTTCACCGAAATGAACGAAAGACTCGGTAGATACGATTGAGCAGAATTGAGTAAAACTCGTATAATCCCGTGAATTTTTTAATTAAACATTATTACATTAAGCTCCGCTCGGCCGGTGTGCTCGAACGAGAATTTCCGGGCTCCATTCAGCCCGCCTCCGTACCCGTTTATTCCGGTAGTTTCATGTTGAAAGAGGAGGAGATTTGTAACCGCGGCTCGGTCAAGACGGCGCGCACGCTCTTTCACCCCCGAGACCCTTTTGAGAGAATCAAGTATCGGGTTTGTTGTGCAGGGAGGGAATATAGGGGAGAATAAGCCGCGATAAGCAGGTCTCTTTCAACCGTTTTTCAAGCCTGGGAACGGGTCCCGAGCTCTTCAGGACCTTTTCCATCGCGGTGTGGGTCCGTTTGTTCATCTGGCTACTCGAGACTGGAGATTTTTTTAGAAACTTTATAGAAAATATGCGGACAGGTATATTTACCTGGTCATACGTGGAACACCGTTTTGTTATGTGGGCTATGAATTGCTCCTTTGTGGGCGCGATGATTCCTGGCCTACTCGAGGTTGGAAAGGTCGTGTGAGAGCAGTTCCAAAGCTGAATCCACGTCCGCTACCTTTGAGCTTGTACGCTACATTTACCTGTAGAAATGGGGCGAATATAAAAGAAGATCAAAGGGATGGTTCCAGGAAAAAAAAAAATGGATATTCGCACGCGTCTGACCGGAGTTATACGGGAACGTATATAGAGCAGTGATAAACGCGCTCGCAGCCGGGCTGCCTGCGGTTTTCACGGGAGAACGCGTTTCCAGGACGATTCCTATTCGTTGCCGCGCGACACCCGGTCTTACCAGGGGAAACAAACCGACGTGGGAAGCACTTGCTCTCGCGCGAGTGTGAAATTCGACTCGGGCCATGTCTTTTAATTCTGAATTGGGAAACTGTTAGGTATGCCTGTGTGGATGTGAATATTTCAACTATTTTTATAGTTTTACTACAGTTACGATACGTTCTGCGCGCGTCAGAATTGTCTGGAACGTGGGGGACAGAATGCTAGTAGTTAGAGTCAACGGATATTTCGACTTCATCGAAGAGTGACTCTTCCAGAAAGGGGTGGTTTGGCTATTTTGCGTGCTAAAGGCAGCTGAAAGTATAAGTTCCAGTGAGTATTTTGAGCCCTTTGAATAGTTTTTACACGCGTCAGAATGATCTGTAAACGTGGAAGACCTGACGCTAGTAGTTACAGTCAACGGATTTGTTGACCGCATCGAAGGATGACTCTTCCAGAAGAGGGTAATTTAGCTATTTTGCGTGCTAAAGGCAGCTGAAAGTATAAGTTCCAGTGAGTATTTTAAGCCCTTTGAATAGTTTTTACACGCGTCAGAATAATCTGTAAACGTGGAAGACCTGATGCTAGTAGTTACAGTCAACGGATTTGTTGACCGCATCGAAGGATGACTCTTCCAGAAGAGGGTAATTTAGCTATTTTGCGTGCTAAAGGCAGCTGAAAGTATAAGTTTCAGAGTATTTTAAGCCCTTCGAATACTTTTTACACGCGTCAGAATGATCTGTAAACGTGGAAGACCTGATGCTAGTAGTTAGAGTCAACGAATACGCTGACTGCATCGAAGGATGGCTTCTCGAGAAGTGGGTAATTTAGCTATGTTTCGTACTAAACGTAACTGAATCTGTAAATTTCAGTGAGTATTGGTATTTTGAATCCTTCGAATATTTTCTACGCGCGTCAGAATTGTCAGGAATGTAGGATACACAATGCTAGTAGTTCGAGTCAACGAATACGCCGACTGCATCGAAGGATGGCTTCTCAAGAAGTGGGTAATTTAGCTATGTTTCGTACTAAACGTAACTGAAACTGTAAATTTCAATGAGTATTGGTATTTTGAATCCTTCGAATATTTTCTACGCGCGTCAGAATTGTCAGGAATGTAGGATACACAATGCTAGTAGTTAGAGTCAACGAATACGTCGACTGCATCAAAGAATGGCTTCTTGAGAAGTGGGTAATTTAGCCATGTTTCGTACTAAACATAACTGAAACTGTAAATTTCAATGACTACTCGTATTTTGAATCCTTCGAATATTTTCTACGCGCGTCAGAATTGTCAGAAATGTAGGATACACAATGCTAGTAGTTAGAGTCAACGGATATGCCGAGTGCGCCTACTTCCAGAAGAATAATCTAGGCATTCCTCGACCTAAAAATAACCAAAACCATACGATTCTCCTTGCATCTTAATTTGGAGTATATTTTCCATGCTCCAAAATATTCAGAATCTTCAATTTTCACGCTTGCGGGAAATTAGTGCCGATTAATGTACATTGTAAATATGCCCCGTCCAGTTGCATTGCAATTTAATTGGATGATCTAATATTAACCGTAGTTGCTATATACCGACGTGAAATTAGCTCTCGCTACCCGAAGTAGTACAGCCCCTAAAATGAAAACCCGCTGAAGGGTACACACGATAAAAACACGAGTCATCGT